GAGAGCATGAGTAGTTTGGCATTTTTACCGACAGTGGAGAGGCCATTAGACATGGATGTTCAGGCTTTGGCTAATCGGTTCGTGAGGTTGGATGTTTCGGAGCATAGCCGGGTTCTTGCTTATGTTGTGGCACCGTCATCATTGTTGGAGCATATCAAGGCTTGCCAGTTTGATGATCCTCACTTGTTAGTGTTGAAAGACACGGTGTAACGGGGTGGTGCTAAGGAGGTTGTGATTGGAGGTGATGGTGTTATGCGGCTTCAAGGCCGGATTTGTGTTTTGAATGCCGATGGGTTGAGGGTGTTGATACTTGAGGAGGCTCACATTTCGCGCTATTCCATTCACCTAGGTATCACGAAGATGTACTGTGACTTGAAACATCACTATTGGTGGCGGAGGATAAAGAAAGATATTTTCAGTCATGTCTTTCGGTGTTTGTATTATCAACAGGTAAAGTATGAGCATCAGAAATCGGGTGGGTTGACTCAAATATTAGAGATACCGGAGAGGAAATGGGAGTGCATCACTATGGATATCATGGTCGGCTTACCATGGACCTTGAGGAAATATGACACTGTTTGGTTTATTGTGGACCAGTTGTATAAATCCGCATACTTTATTTCAGTGATGACTTCCTATTCTTCAGAGTTGTTGGCTCAGATTTACATATGGGAAATTATCCGCCGGCATGGTGTGCCCATTTTCATCATTTCTGATCAGGACACATAGTTCACATCGCATTTTTGGAGAGTCGTGCAGTGTGAGTTGGGCACGCGAGTCGAGTTGAGTACCGCATTTCATCCTCAGACGGATGGACAATCCGGTCACACTATTTAGATATTGGAAGATATGTTGCGGGCATGCTCTATAGATTTTGGGGGTCAGTGGGACCATTTTTTTACCTCTAGCGGAGTTCGCCTACAACAACAGTTATTAGTGGAGTATCCAGATAGCTCTGTACGAGGCCTTATATAGGAGGCGATGTCGTTCACCAGTTAGTTAGTTGAGCCCAGTGAGGCTAGATTGTTGGGCACTGATTTGGTTTTTGATGTTTTGGAGAAGGTTAAGGTGATTCAGGAGCGACTTTTGTACAACTCAGTCCAAGCAAAAGAGTTATGTGGACCGGAAGGTTCGTGATGTGGCTTACATGGAGGGTGAAAAGGTTCTTCTCCGAGTGTCACCTATGAAGGGCTTGATGTGGTTTGGGAAGAAGGAAAAGTTGCGCCCGAGGTTTATTGGTCTATTTAAGATCTTTGAGAGAGTTGGAGAGGTTGCTTATAGGCTTGCATTGCCTCCTAGCCTAGCAGGGGTACATCCGGTATTTTACGTCCCCATGCTTCGGAAGTAGCATAAGGATAAGTCACATGTTTTAGAGTTCATCACAGTGATGCTTGATGAGAATTTGACCTATGAGGAAGAGCTGGTACCTATTCTAGACCAGCAGGTTCGTAAGTTGAGATTTAAGAGTTTTCCTTCTGTGAAAGTGCCTTGGAGAGGTCAGCCGATTTAGGAGGCTATGTGGGAGTTTGAATCCGATATGCAGAGTAGATACCCACACCTTTTTACCAGTCAAGGTACACTTTTATGTCCATTAGAAGACAAACGTTTCTTTTAGAAGTGGAGAATGTGATGACTCGATAGGTCGTTTTAAGTACTAACCTTTATTTCTGTATTTAGAGACTAGATGTAGATTTGGTGATTAATAATTTATGTGCATAGTTCGTGTCAATTTTCGGATAGGTTATGTGTGAAATTTCAAAGAAAATGTGATTTTTGACTAAAAATGAGGTTTGAGTTGACCACAGTCAACGTTTTTGGTAGACGACCCTGGTTCAGTATTTTGACGATTACGGTAGGTTCGTATGATATTTTTGGACTTGTACGCATATTTGGTTTGGGTCCCGGGTGACCCGAGGGTGTTTCGACGCAATGTGTGAAAGGATGCAAAAATTGAGTTTCAAAGTTGAAATCTTGAGTTTTGATGATCGGTTCTTGATATTTGATGTTATTTTAATGATTCGTGGTAGCAAGAGAGGTTGTATGATATTATTACACCTGTGTGCTTGTTTGGATTGGATCCCGAGAGGCTCGGGCGAGTTTCAGATCAGTTTTGGTTGATGTTGGAAATACTGAAGCATAGCAGTTGCTGGTGTGAACTTGCAGGTCTCGCAATTGTGAAGACTTTCACAATTGCGAGCCTCGCATTTGTGGTGTCAGGCTCGAAAATGCAAACATAGACTGGGGGTTGGGTCTTCTCATATGCGAAGAAATTTTCGCTTTTGCAAACTATTTTGTGATCACTTTTTGCCGCCTTTATGTCGCATTTGCTACACTTTGTTAGGTAGGGCAGCTTCGCATTTGCGAGTGGGGTGTCCTTCACAAATGCGAAGTTATCGCATTTGCGAATATTGTATGGCTGGACACTGATCACATTTGCGATCAATGGTTCGCTTTTGCGATGGTCGCAATTGCGAACAAGAGTTCGCAATTGCGACATCTGCAGCTGGGTAAAAGTGAAAAATTTTGGGACTTAGCTTATTTCACACCATTTTTCAACTCTGAACTCTTTAGAGGCGATTTGTGAAGAGGATTTTCTTCCCAAATTAATTGGTAAGTAACTTTAGCTAGTTTTCAATCAATTTCAATTACTTTTCCATGAATTTTAACATCAAATCCATGAATTTCAACGTAGAAATTAAGGGTTTTGGGTAGAATTTAGGAATTTTATAAAATTGAGATTTAGACCTCGAATTGAGGTCAGATTTCAAAATAAATCACATAACCGGGCTCGGGGGTGAATGAATAATTGAAATTTGGTCCGATTCTCGGATTTCGGCCAAGCGGGTCTGGGGTTAACTTTTGTTGACTTTTTAAAATATGATAAAAATTGAACCTTTTTCATTCGTGGGTAGCTTTTAAAGCTTATTTTGAATTGTTTGAATGATAATTGGGTAGATTCGGTTGGTTTGGAGGCTTGTTCGAAAGGAAAAACCATGGTTGATTGTTAATTTTATTGCAGAAGGAGGTAAGTGTCGTGGTTACCCATTAATTGAGGGAATAAAGGTAGAATCAAGTCTTTTTGCTATGTGAACAACGTGTTGGGGGTGGCGTATAAGCGAGGGGACGAGTGTATAAGTGTTGGCCATGGGATAAGCATCCGGGCGGAATTTGCCTAATTTGTACCATGTTGCTTCATTTACTATACCTTCCAAGCCTTAGATAGATCGTTTATTCTTTGACTATTCACTTTCGTATTTATTGCTTATGTTGAAATTGTTGTGATATAGGAAGTTGAGTTCGCGAAAGTTGATCAGTTTTTGGTACCAATCGTTGAAAGATTCTCATATGATGAGCTGTATTCTAACACTATTGTTGAAGTTGAAATTTTCTTCCCACCTTGCTTGATTTTTGTGTTATTGTTATTGCTTTGTGAGGAGTGAAGAGCACGAAGGGTGTTGTTGTACCTCATTTGTATATTGATATCATTGATTAAGTGAATGTGAGGATAAAATAACGAAGGGTAATGTCGTGCACATGTTTATTTATCATGAGAGATTAAAGCTTGAAGGGTAATGTCGTGCATATGCATTTTTATTATGATCATGTAAGGATGAGAGTAAAAGCACGAAGGGTGATGTTGTGCACATGTATATATCTGATATGGTGAGGATGAGAGTAAAAGTACGAAGGGTGATGCCGTGTGAATTTATTGAATTCGTTGTTTTACTTGATATTTGGTAATGTGAATTTCGACTTAGTGGTTTCGTTGCCCATTTTGGAAATAGGTTTAATTCATGATTCTTATTTACTCTTCCATCCATTGTCCCCTATACGTGCCATTATCCCGTTGTTTCATTTGACTATTTACTTGTTATTCCTTTATATATATATATATATATATATATTTGTACTCCGTCGAAGTAAGAAACCATGGCATATATGTTTGGAATAGATTCCATTTTGAGAGAGTTAAAAAAGAACTATCTCGTTGAAAGGTTCTATACATCTGCCCTTTCTCAACATATTTATTTAAACAAAGATTCTATTTTTTCCTCTTTTCGGATGTTAAATCTTTCTTAGCTATATATATAGCTGTACAAATTTATTGTAGGCGTCTTGTCTTAGCTTCATCACTACCTCGTCGAGGTTAGGCTCAACACTTACAGAGTATATTGGGTCGATTTTAGTCATATTACATTTCTGCACTTCTTGTATAGATTTTGACATCGATACTAGCAGAGCCCTAAGAGGTGCTTAGCAGATACTGCGTTGGTGATTCGAAGTAGAGCTGTATCTAGTCCGCAGACCTTGAAACATTGTCTTACCTCTACTGTGTAGTTTCCACTTTATTCGGACAATGTTGCATTTCTTTCAGAACCTTGTATTTAGTTAGATTTAGAAGCTCATGTACTTGTGACACCAAATCTTGGGGTGCTAGTTGTTGGTTTTAGAACTTTATTATATTATCACCGAGCTCTGTTTACGGTATGTTATTGATCAGTTGTAAGATGTTTATTTCTTTTCGTATTCTTTATTGTGTTGGCTTGCCTAGAGAGCAATATTAGGCCCCATCATGACTCTGATTGGCTGGGATTTGGGTTGTGATAGCTATTTCATAGATTTACTACAAATTTACTCACGACAAATAGCAATCACGGTAAGAATGTACTTTCAAAGATTCAAGCTGCACAACTGAAGAATCTGATTGAAGAAGAAGTTTCTAGTTGTTTAGGTCTTGATTCATTATTCTTTAATTGTAACTTATTCTGTTTTTGAGAAGTGTATTTGTAGGTAAACAATTATTAGAATTTGTTTTGAAGTACTAGGCTAGAGCTTATAGTCTATGAGAGCTATAAGAGGCAGCTACAATTGGGTTGATTGTAGGGGCTAAAATACTAGAGTTCATAGTCCTTTGGTTTCGCGAAAATTGAGCAAGACACCGTTCACCCTCTCTCGTGTCTAGGTGGACTATAAAATAATAAAGTGCTTACAAACCAAAAAACCTTAAAAGCACAAAACACCATTTTAAGATGAACAAAGTAAAGGCAAAAGTAAAATAGAACCGAAGGCTGATACATTGACAAAGAGCTACAGCAACATGGTCAACATACTACTACTTCGACAATGATCTTTGAACTCTTCTCAGCAAACGAAGTAGAGTGACCAAATCACTGGTGATGTATAATCAACTTATCAGCCACTAAGCCGATACCTGCTTTCTCCCTATAATCAAAGGTTTCCAAAGAGAAAAATGCATCCGCAGAGGTCCCAGGAATGAACAAGTTCGCTAGTTCCGCGGAGTCAAAATTACTAGACTCAACTCTTTGGAAGGTGGAAGATTCATTCTGATATCTCTCTATCTGCGTCCTCCAGTGAACAGTGTTACCATCCACTCTAGCTTTCAATCTGCAAAATAAGCAATCAGAAAGTGAAGTATGATCAAATGAAACATAAAAACATGGTAAAAGCCTATAATGTTCCAGATATGAGCTCAAAGAACAGAAAGATGGGGCTGTGGAAAAAATTATGCAGTCGAGAGACCCTTTGGGCATGGTATTGATAATGTAGATGAAAGGAACTGAACAGTGAAATCATATCATATAAAGGAAACTTTAGAGATGAACTTCACATGTCAAAGAACTACATTTGTTAGTAACTACCAAATCAGCAGCATGTAATCGTCTCTTAGTGGAGATCTGAATTGAAGTTATCTTTCCTGATGAAGAAATGTTCAGTAACTTACCGCAATCGAACGCTCTGATAATCTCTGTTAACCACAGGAAGCCATTCTGAGTCACCACCGCAATCCTTGTATCTCTGCTCAACAAGAATATCACACTCATCCAGAACTTCACATAAACGCCGAGAAGCAGCCACCACAAAAGTGAGTCGACGATTAGCATCATCAAACTTTCTAATTTCTAACTGCACCTTGAGGCGACTACAATGCAGCTTCAAATCAATGTCATTGTGCATAATACGTATTCTTGGGTTTCCATCATAAAAGGAGGCAGGGATTGCAAAAGTAGAAGGTATAGAAACTTCATTAGGAGAAATCCATGAACTTTGAAGTACTTCAGGAAAAATAGACTCCTGCACATAAACCAAAATATATAGCTCCGCAGACTAAAGTAATGTTCATGTAGTAACTAGTAAGGACACTAGCATCAGAAGACCGTTATATATGACTGATTCAACCAACAATTCAGGTGTCCAGATTCATTTTTTCAAATTATGACTTTTTTTCCTATGAAAGGAACTTCATCTAAAATAGGTTACTTCCGTCTTAATGATTCTCAACTTAAGCAGTTAAGTAAATACACGACAACACTTTTGATCGTATAAATCTTCTAGTTAACAGTATAAAAATCCAAAGGAAGTCAGCTCCAATATATTACAATTAAGATATGCCACACAGCACAAGACTACACCCTGTGGAAATACTATTTGTTGACAGTTTACACATACAAAATAAATGATCATTCACTTCCATATATAAGATCAGATAATGTGTTGTAGTTATATGGGCCATGCATAATTTGTCATGGAGTGAATCAGGCAGGGAAATATTCCAGTCCTTAATCCTATGTGGAGGGTGCAGGGTAAAATTATTCCATAGGATGATAGATTCAGTTACCCCTGCTTCAGTTCTCCCCTCTCCCGCACAGGGGCGTATCTAGGCTTTGGTGTATGGGATCACGTGAACCTATACTCATCTTCCTAAACCATGTATAATAATGTTATACTTCTTCAAAATTACATAAATATATGTGTGTGCACTCATACTCAAAGACTCCTGTAGTGTAATAATTATTGGGCGTGCCTCTACGAGTAAAATTAGGGGTTCAAATGTCACTTCATACTGTCTTGTTTTCGGCACAGAGCATAGATATATACGTGAAAATCATTAAAAAATTAGATAAGATATAATTTTGAACCTGTAATATTAAAGTGTAGTGAGTTCATGGTAAAAGACTAAAGTTAAACACGTCAAATGTAAATTCTAGATTCACCTCTTCATAATAGTGCACTCATTCTCTTAAAATCCTGGATCCGCCTCTGCTCCCGCACCGACACCACCCACTGACCTCACTACCCACAATATGTACGTACATACAGACATGACTTCATATTATGTATTCTCAGACTGATTATTTGATATGCTCAAGTATAGACTGATTATTTTGTTTCCATTTTGCTGAGTGCAACCTTACTAATTACTGCATTCGTGTGTCGAGAACTTTGACGTATAAATAACAAGCTTTTGATACATTTACGCACAAGATATTTTTGCGTCTACGATTTAATCTCATCTCAGACTTCATCTTTAACCAAAATCAACATCTATCAAACTAGACTGAAGATAGAAAACGAGAAGGTTTGGCCCATAAACTCTCACTATCACAATCTGAAGTATAGAGCACCAGAACCAATCAACCCCTTAGTCAGAAACTTGGACAAGAACACTATTATAAAAATTACTATATATTTATATTTACAGATGACCATTTGAAGGTGAACTAGATGTAGTCATCTCTTTTACCCAGATGGATAAGAGAGGTATATAATTCATTTAGATAATGGGGATCACGATTCAGATCCCATTGGAGCTTTTCAAATAATAGACATCCAATCTAGACAAATTCCCTATCAAAGATATTTAAGGCCGCCCACTTGTTCAAAGAATTAGTGAATCAATATGAATCAACAAGAGGTTATTTTAAAAACTAAAAACTCGGGATCTTAAGAAACTGAAATGATATTAAAATAAAAAGCATATCAAATAGGGATAGAATATTCAGTGGTAAAAATTTCAATGTCATATGAGTGAGAGAGCTGTCTGCGGAAAAAAAAAGCCAATCATAGAACTGAAATAGAGCAAAACAGTAGTTATACTTACCAAGAATAAAACAGTTCCACAGTGCTTGAGAACTTCAAGATTCATTCGGACATCAGGCAAACACCTGAAAGTGTCAAGAGAATTTTAACGGAGGTATCACAACAGAGAGGAAGAGAAAAAGGCAAATGACATTTTTTTGGACATTCTCTCACAGGAGAAGAGAAAAAGAAGCTAGTCACACTGTCATGCCAGCAAAGTGCAAATGCTACATCAAAGAAGTTGCAAGTTCTCAGACAAGCAAGTTCAGAAAAGAAGATCGCATAGGGGGTAAGAAATCACTTAATTTAAGGAAGACACAATAAACGGAGAATTAATTGTTTCGCTGCAAAAGATTAAGAAGTCACTTAATTGATCCCTCCGCTAAAAGAAAAGCTCTGATCTAATAATCAACTTATTCGTAATGCAAATTAATATCCATACTTACCTGTGTGGTTGCTCTTCAAACCGAAAATAAGCTGCGAGAGTAGACAACTGCCAGAAACATTATCACTCAAATAGTATCAGAATTTCTGGATGAGAGGAAGACTAATATGAATACTGCGACATTTTAGATACATAAGGATGCGACTTTTACTGTTTATGGAAGATAGATCTGTGCACCAACTAGGTGATTCATCTGAGCCAGCCTTGACAGTTTCTAGACAAATCATCCATGAAGTTGCATTGAGCTAATATACAATGTCTTTCTCAAGTATAGCTAACCTAGTTAATCAAGAAGATAAAATAAATCTGTATAGCCCATGGTTATTTTTCTTTCCTTGTCCTTAAACTTAACATATCCGCTATATATAACACTAACTAAACTTATAGCAGTGTAATCCACTAGATAGTTGCTACTTCCCACTAGCACAAGTACAGAGTAACTTTGTCGACCAAGTTCCGTTTGTCACTGCTGTGCTTTGGAGCCTGGTCTTCCTGTTCCATTCCATTTTAATTCACTGACCGCTATGCTACACAATTGGGTGCAAAAGTCTTGCAACTATAGTCAGGATTTTAAACTTTATAGACTTTTCAGGGGAGTTTCTAATTCTTTAACTGCATAAATTTATGCCTTCGATTCAGAGTCATCATCCAGGGAAAAACATATGGAAAGAAAAACAAATAAAGACTAAATACTTTGGTGACTGTATTTAGCTGAAAGAAGCTGGTTTTTCTAATGGAGGTGCTATCTAACATCCAATTGACAACCAGATGTACTCGAAAATTTAAAATATTTTTCTGGAAAATGTTTTCCCTTCTCTTGATAGGGAAAACATTTTTGGAGTAAAATGAGTTTATAAGGAAAATGTTTTCCAAAATATTTAAGCTAATCAAACACCCTATGTCACTAATCATTTGCAAATCTTGTAGACAATATTCACCAAGTTAAGGATACCTTCATATCACCAGCTCTCTTTCCAAACCATTCTGTTAACAATGGATACGAATCAATCAATTGCCTATATCTTGGTGCTCGCCAACCAATTTCAGCAAACTCCTCCTTAATAAGAGGACAATCGAAGTCCTTAATATTGTGTCCAGCCCATATTCGCGCTATGTCAATAGGGACACACGCATCACACAAAATGGAATTCAACACAACTAAAATACAAAGAGGTGGTCTTTTATAGCATACATTTATTAAATATTATACGCCAAATATGGTTTTCATGCTTTCACTTGATGATAGAAATAACATACGCATATATATATATATATATATATATATATATATAGAGAGAGAGAGAGAGAGAGAGAGAGAGAGAGAGAGGGGGGGGGGGTAATGAGGCACAATTTGTTGTTTTTAATATAATTAAATATTATTAATTTTTTTCCCGAGAAAACTACAAACATTCCATTAATTGACCATCATTTCCAGATTACTTACCATGGAGAGTAATGCGACCCCGAAAATTCGACATTTCGAGTCATTCATATTTTCTGATCAATTCAAACATAGTTCAATTACTTTAAAGAGATAAAAAATACTCATATCACGTCACTGTTAGTATAATAAATGAAGTTCGGTTACTAACTATACCAATATAATAAGTAAAAGTTCAATGGCCATAAGCCCATAACTAATCCATAATTACTAGGTAGAATGTAAAAGTTGAAAAAAGAAAATGATGGTGCTAACCATTGAGGATTTGGTAGATGTCGTCAGCAACTTCAGGGAAGAGAGGGGCAGAAGCTAGGTCTGCTCTGGTGATGCCATGATGACCCGAGAAAGTATCCGAGAATGATGGGTCAGTGGGTCGGATCAGGGTCGAATAACTGTCAAGCTCAATCAACCTCCTTGGGCATACAAATATGGCTCCGAATTCTAACAGAACCCGATCCTGAAATGTCGTCTCCAAATCAAAGAACACAATTGCCTCCCCTTCTCCGTCAATCTCCATTAATGCAGCTTATCGATCGAGCTTCACAAATTTCTTCACACACACACAAACACACAGACACAATGAGAATATATATAATTTGCTGTGTTGAGGTGGTGTTATGATAATCTCATGTGTATTATATAGAGATGCATGTATTATGGAACTAGGTGTAAGCGCGACAATATTTTCCATGGTGGGGCAGTGTAGTAGTGAACTAACTGAAACTTTTTTGCTTTTAGTTAGTAGCTTGGAATTTGAGAGACTGACTTTTTGCATAGTCCTGACTCATCAACTAGTGTACATTGGAAGTTTAGTCGTCTGTTCATGGAATAATGTGGGATTAATCATGTGTTACGTTGGATTTTTGTTTCTGGTGTAATCAATTTCGAAATTAGTTACATATCTCATTTTCGATATTGATTTTAACACATTCGATATTGATTAAAATGATGAAGTGCCCTGCTCCAAAGTATTTTAGAAAGCGAAATAGAGTTCATTTCTTAGATAATCATCCAAAATTATGGACTAAAATTACTTTTCTTTCTTTTGTAACAGAAAAGTCATTCAATTATTCCTATTACACATAAATGATCACTCAATCGAAATTATTAAACTTTTCGATGAAAAATGTGACATAACAGTCTACATGGACTTTTTATATTTTTTGAACCTAATAAAATCATTAACACCCAAACCAAAACATAAGAATTTTATTCATATATATACACACCCAAAAACCATTAAAAATAAAAAACAACCACTAAATAAAACCAAACGGTAAAATGCATACCTATTATAAATGCATCTCTCTTCTTCTTTCAAAAATCAAATTTCTTCTTTTTTATAGTTTTATAAAATAATAATGGGTATTTAGACTAAAGACTAGATTGACCTTTCTTCTTCTTTTCTCAATGACCTGTATTTTTCTTTTCGCAGTTTTTCTTTTATTTTATACAAAATAATAATGGGTACCAGATTAAAGACTATAATGAAATCATGAAAAAAATAGAGCTGCTTTTTATAAGAAGAAGAGAGATGCGTTTTAGTATTAGATTAATTATTTAGCAAGTGGATTTTTATTTTTAGCGGGTTAGATTGAGTGTATGAGTAAATTTTCTATGTTTTATTTGGGTTTTAATTATTTTATTTGGTTCAAAAATATTAAAAAATCCATTTGGACTGCTACGTCACATTTGTCCACCGGAAAGTTTGTTAATTCCGATTGAGTGACCATTTATGTGCAATAGGAATAGTTGAGTGATTTTTCCGTTACAAATGAAAGAAAATTGACTTTAACTTATAATTTTGAATAGTTAAATAATCATCTGAGTAAGTTGAAATTATAAATAAAAGTTTATCTAAATTATCTATTGTAAAACTAACCACATGTTTTATGTACACTCAGTTTATCCCATATAGATCCAATTAGCCAACCATTTATCAAAAAAAGTATACTCTTTTAAATAATTTCGCTGCTTTTTAGTCCATGGGTNCTTAGTCTTGAAGTAGTTTACATCGGAAGCTTAATGTGTTGAAAAGAGTAGTTATGTCATTTAATGGAAGACGCGGCAAGTTCAAAACATAACTTAATGCTGAAGTTGTGTGTTGAACGAAGGAAAGAGTAGCAAGTACATTTCAGGGGTTATGCTGTAAAACTTTAGCGTCAAAAAGTTTTTCTGATTTTTTTTTTCTTTGGTCTTCTGCAAAGTTGAAAGATATTTTTTATTCCAGAGATGGTGCAATGATGTTGATTGAAATATTTTTAACACGTTTGGTAGGAAGTGTTAGAAAAAATAATGCAAGCATTAGCTCTATGCATTACTAATATCTTGTTTGGTATATTTTTTTAACCTGTGTATATATTAGTTATACATCATACTTGGTATTATCTTATGTATAAGTAATGCATAGAAAACCATGGCATTAGTAATACCAAGGCTATTAATGCATGTATTAGTATGGTTAAAGACAAAATTATCCTTAAAATCCCTTAAAACTTGAGAATATCGAGGGCATTTTTGTAAACATCTATTTTTCTTAAAAATTATATTATGCATTATAATTTTAATACACCACACCAAACAGTAGATAAAAAATAATATTTGCATAACTAATGCTTGCATTACTAACCCATGCATTACTAATCCATGCATTACTAATACACCTTATTCCGCACTATTCTTATGCACCTTACCAAACGACCCCTTAGGGTGTAGGAAAATATTTTTTCAATTTTTTCATATTTGGGTGGCTTAAATATTTTAAAAAATATTTTCTTCATAAACTTATTTTTCTATAAATGGCAAAAAATATTTCCCTACCAAAAGAAAAAATATTTTTCAAAATTCTTTTCACCCTTCCCCTTATCTCATATCTCAATTGAAAGAGGAAAAAGCAAAGAGAAAGAATAAATTTGCTCTTAGCCTACCTATTCATCTTTTTCTTTTGTCTCCTTATAACCCCTTCCTTTTGACCTTTTTCTTTATTTTGAATGTAAGGAGAAAGAGTGATATATCAAATCTATTCCTATATTATAAATGGGGATAACCAGACAGCTCATGGTCAGCATGTCTGTCTGGTCCAAAATTATCTCATGGCCTATATTTGCAGCCCAACACGTGTAGCCCAATTTTGATGGCTGTCAACTCACCGTTTGATTTCTCTTACTACATCCGATGAGGATAACCAGACAGCTCATGACCAACATGTCTGCCTGACCCAAAATTATCTCATGGCATATATTTGCAGCCCAACACGCGTAGCCCAATTTTGATAGCGGCCAACTCACCATTTGATTTCTCTTACTACATACGATGGGGATAACCAGGCAGCTCATGGTCAACATGTCTGCCTGTTCTCATGGCCTATATTTGCAGCCCAACACGTGTAGCCCAATTTTGATAGCTGTCAACTCACCGTTTGATTTCTCTTACAACATTCGACACTTGTGAAAAACTTCATCTGCAAAGCCCTCTTCTTCAAAGGCCTTTTCGCTTCATATCTCTCCTCTCTTGCTCAATCCCTCTGTCTATTGGTATTTTCTACTGGGTAATCTTCTTCTCATCTTGTGTTTTTTGTATTGATTTGTTTCAATCCTTGATACTACTTCTGTTCCAGTTTATGTGAACCTATTTCCTTTTTGGTCCGTTCCAAAAAGAGTGACCCTTTTCTAAATTTGGATATAATTTAGCTTAAACTTCCAATTCTATCCTTAATGAGAAGCTTTTATAACCACACAAATACTCTGGACACCTTTTTGACTTGTTTAGGACCACAAATTTCAAAAGTCTTAATTTTTTCTTAAACTCCATGCCTAGTCAAAGAGGTTCACATAAATTGGAACTGAGGGAGTAATATACTACGTAATTGTGTTTTCCCCTGAATAGTGAGGGGATTCCTGCAAACAAAGTGAAATATGTTAATAAATTTTGTTCTCAAGGTGTTTGACAAAATTCTTCAATTAGATTTTCTATTAGATTTCTTATGCATGTTCCTGTCTTTTGTTTTCTCTGGTTTCACTCTTTGGTTTTATTTTGAGTCAGGGCTTTCATGTACTTCTTTAGTGCCCAATGACCAATTAGACAATGTTACAGGAGTTGAAGTTTGGCAGACACACGAATAGGAAATCTCTGCCTGACATTGCAAGAAGTTTCATTAGCTTAAGTGGTGTTTTTTTAGTTTCTTTCCGTCTTCGTTTCAAATTGTCATCAAGATTGATTTTCCTTTGCTTAAGAAATGATTTTGGTATAGTAACAGAGATATTCCAAGGGGCAGTGGTGCAAGGTTCGAAAAATATAGACCCGCTCATCTATCCTTCTTTACTTAAATACTAGGTTATGTACGCCTAATCCACATTTAATGAAAACTCAGTTATTTGCTATTGTTCAAGTTTGGTATTCGTGCGCATTTCCTTCAATTTTATTAATGTGAGTATTTAAAATGTTATTTTGTTAGAGGTGTTGATCTTATAACCTTCTTAATTTAAATGCAAAATAGATTGGAATTTATAGTTAATCTGTAATGATCCGACCGCTCATTTTGCGCTCTAGCACGTCGTTCGATGGTTTGAGGCCTTGAATAACTTCACTTCATGTATTAGGACTTGTAGGCGTAGTCAGAATTGAATTTCGGGAAGATCGGAGTTGATTTGGAAAGAAAATTCTAAATTCGGAAGCTTTAGGTTGGAAAAGTTGACTAAGGTTTGACTTTTGAGTAAACGACCTCGAAATCGGGATTTGAAGATTCCAATAGGTTCGTATGATGATTTATGACTTGGGCGTACGTTCAGGTTGAGTGTCGGGTGGTCTGGAAGTATTTTAGCGCTAATTATGGAAAGTTAACATTTTGAAAGTTTAAGAATTGCTTAAGTTTGATTTGAAGTGGACTTTGGTGTTATCGATGTCCGTTTGAGATTCCAAGCTTGGAATAGGTTCGTATCATGATTTGTGACTTGTACGCAAAGTTTGGCGTCATTCCGGAATATTTTGGTATGATTTGGACGAGTTCGTCGAAGTTTGGAATGTTTGAAAGTTTAAAGGAAGGTTTCGATCGTCAATTCGTAATTTTGATATTGTTTGGTGTGGTTTGAGATTTTGACTAAGTCCTCATCGTGTTTTGGGATATGTTGGTATGTTTGGATGGGGTCCCAGGGGCCCCGGGTGCGAATTAGATTGGAAATTGATCAAGTTTGGACTTGGAAGGGTTGCTAAGGCAACTGAGATCTGGTGCAATCGCACCTGCGTAGAAAGGGCCACAGTGCGAGCTCGTAAAAGCGGCCAAAGGGGTCGCAGAAGTGGAGGGGAGTGAGGTTGGCTGGATTCGCATGTGTGAGGAATTTACTGCACCTGCGAGCTCGCAGGTGCGGGCAATGGAGAGTAGAACGGAATAGTGCCTGGGATGAAGACGCGCAGAAGAGGAGAAAAATTCGCAGAAGCAGACCCTTGTCCGCAAAAGCGAAGTGCTAGAGGCAGTGGGGTGTTTGCAGATGCGATGGTTGCACCGCACTTGCAGGACCGTGTCAAGTGGTCGTAGGTGTGATGATCGCTGGGCAGAAGGCTTTGTTAAGTACGTGGGTTTGGCTCATTTTCACTTTATTTCTTCCATGGGAGCCAATT